CATTTCTAGGAAATCTGAGAGCGGGGGGAGAAAATTTTTATTTTCCCTCCCTCCATTTTGTTTTCAACTTTCAAAGATTTTGTTTCCAAGTAAGCACGTGACCAGACCTTACACATAAGTCCCTTTCAATGAAGCGATGTGTTTACAATGAAAATCGCAGGCAGGCATAATAGGTATGACCTATGGATAAGGTCGATTTCCTTCAGTTAGCGTGTACATAAACTAACAACTGGGCTATAGCACGGTCAGACCAATGTTATATAAGTGCGCTTGGTTAACAAAGTGAATAGTACAAGCATTAAGTTTATTCCCCAAAACTTGCCCTGCTATGAATAAATCTTTAGAGTTTATACGCTGGTCAAAAAGAAACTGGTCTTATTTCTAAGGGATATTTAAGAATTACTAGAAATAATATAAGTGCACGACTGTCATATCAAATTTAAATAAGTAACATATAAACTAATTAAATACACAAACATTTCTATGACTTATACGATGCTCATATTTCTAAAAAAGATGCTCAAGATCAAATACTGATAAATTATGTTCAAAAGTAAGATTAGATTCTGTTAAAAATAGTAACGAAATAAACAAAATATCATTCTATATTATGTAACACTAAAACTAAGCACATGTAATAAGTTTCAATACAATTTATTTATTATAAACGCATGAACTTAATATTTACGAAGTGGATACATATAAAGTGTGCCACGTACAACTTAAAACATTAAAATGACAATGGCTGCACTCAAAGTGCTATGATATGTTTAATATGAGAGTGTATTGTTTTTGTTGATCAGAGTATTGCTTGAGTATTTCTGAGCGAGTAGTATTTAGTTGCTATTAGTAGATTCTATACGATGATTTAATTCAGAACGGGAACATTCCAGTCTAAGTCACTTTCGTTGAAAATGTTACTCCAATGAACAGTAGCGGCCCTAGGGGTCGACAAGTAGGGCAACCGCCCCAGGCCCCGTGTGCCAGCGGAGCCCCGCGTTCGTACATTTCCTTGTCACCTTCTGCTTTGCACTCACTAGGACTTTTTACTCAATATATCGGAATTCGGAATGTACCAATTCTACAATCGTAGAATGTATTTTTGTCAGTAACACGTGCAAGGTTTGTGAGAGAATAACAAATAAGATATGAACATTTAAAAGTTAAACAAATATTTGGCTCCATTTTTTTTTCTAAATCTAGTTTCCTATTCTAAAAAAACTGTTAAATGCCTCCTGTTAAGTTGGAGTGCTACACCATTTTCAGAAAAATCTTCTTTTTCCTTTCCAGAGAAGAGAAGGGTTTCTCCTGATTGCAGTCTTCTTAGAAGACAACGGCCACCCGCTCCATCAGAACTACGTCAGGTGGACGACTACTGTCAATCAAAACAAGAACGGAGCGGTACAAAAACTCGTTCGTACCTCATTCGCTCAGACTCTATCACCGCCACTCATTGATCAGGGAAAATGAAATGCACCAAGATACCTGTGTGTAGTCGCTGAATGAACTCTTTATGTTGTGTCTGTTGTATTTATGTGTATTTTTCTGTTGTGTTGTCTTTATATGAGAAAAGAGTCCTTGTAATCACAAGAAATTTCCGTAAGGATCAATAAAACAGTCTTAGTCTTCAAAAGTGTTCTTTCTTGAATTTCACTAATTCCCAAGTTCTGTTATTTTCTTGTGCACATCTACTGGTTACAGCAGTGTACGGACTTTCCATGTTCTAAAGCTAAATGATGTCTTCTGAATGAGTCCTGTGTCTTAGTAGTACCTGCCAGGAGTGATGAGCTCCCACTGGTATAGCTCTAATGGTCATTGTGGCACGCAAGCTGTCACACCAAGGCAAGGAAGGGGCATCAGTTAAAAGTTGATTTATTTTTAGCTCAAGTCTGTTTTTACAATTCCTCTTGTCAGCTTGCACCTTTTCTATTGGCCAACGTCTATGCGAAAACGGCTCTAACGATTTTCCACCTAGAAAAGCTTATGGCATATCTTTGGGGAAGAATGTATCTACACGGGAAAACTCAGGTTTTAAAGTTATATTTTTTTGAAATATAATACTTATAAAATTAAATTTGGTCTGGAGGTGTAAATAATCTACATCTTGAGCACGCATCAGTGTCTTATTTTCTTATCTTATATAATACAGTGTCTGCATCACTATAGAACTAAATAGACAAATGGTCTGTCAGGAACATTGTATGAGCACTATTATCTATTTATGTTTCAAAGTCTGGATCTATATCACCAAACTAGAATCCTCTATACTATATCTCTAGATTCTAGTAAATATACAAAACAAAAACAAAACAAAAGAACAAATAAAAAAAAATATTTTCAAAAGCGCCACTTTGACCTGATGGCATACTTACCCAACTTCTTTGATGGGCCTAGTTGTGAGGAGCATTTGTTTATAATCTTGGATTCTGAGTTCGAATCCATTTAAAAACTGGGATTTCGAATTACAAAATTATTTTTTTTTAATTTTCCCCGAGTCCACCCAACCGGATATGTGTTCGTTGTGCTGGCCACATGACACAATAGTTTATCTTTTTAATAGATATGGTATCTGCTTTTTGTTTAACTTTATACTTCTTGGATTCATAAATGAATTGCATTGATCACTGTATGTTGTGCAAGGCACGGAATGAAATCTAACATTAATTTAAAGGTTAGTTTTGTTTTAATTTTTGCTTCTATGAACTTTACATTTTTGTTATTAACGATCTCTCCTTCCAGAAACACATAGATTCATTGAATCAGTAACTAAATAACATTAAAAGTGTAATTCAAATAAGTAGCTTTACATCCCTAAAAGCATATATTACAAATTACAACACTACACTTATCGTTTAAAAATGACAATTAGTGAATAGTACTTTCATTTTTTTTGAAGATATCATAAATCTATATTTCTTTTGGAGGCGCGGGGGCAGAGTGGTAAGGCGCTTGGCTTATGAATTAAACATACTTTCATTAATAAAGAGTGAAGTCAATAAACAAAGATTTCCATTTACGAATCTTCTCATTGTTTCGCTAATTAACATTTCTATTTGAATGTAAATAAAAAAGATAAGTCGTCAAATATGTTTCCATAATGTGAAATATTATACTAAAGCGCATTGCTTTAGTGTTGTGTACAAATACTGACACTATTGTGAAAATATAAAGCACATAGTGAAATATACAATAAAATGATCCAAAGTAACACTATTAATTATGATGCAAAATCAATCAATTAATCCATCCATCCATCCATCCATCCATCCATCCATCCATCCATCCATCCCATCCATCCATCCATCCATCCATCCATCCATCCATCTAATCTATCCATCCATCCATCCATCCATCTATCTATCCATCTATCTAATCTATCTATCTATCTATCTATCTATCTATCTATCTATCTATCTATCTATCTATCTATCTATCTAATCTATCTAATCTATCTATCTATCTATCTATCTATCTATCTATCTATCTATCTATCTATCTATCTATCTAATCTATCTATCTATCTATCTATCTATCTATCTATCTATCTATCTATCTATCTATCTATCTATCTACCTACCTACCTACCTACCTACCTACCTACCTACCTGCCTATCTACCTACCTACCTACCTACCTACCTACCTACCTACCTACCTACCTACCTACCTACCTACCTATCTATCTATCTATCTATCTATCTATCTATCTATCTATCTATCTATCTATCTATCTATCTATCTAAATGTAGATTGATATAACCAAGTCAGGACTTTATTACGTCATTACTTAAAATTTGATGATCTTTGAGTGTGTGCATTGACAAACTCAAAGAAAGATGAAAATATGAATGTGTGCAGTGACACTGTTAAAATAAGATGAACATTCAAAGTATGAGTTATGGTAGCCGTTTCCTGCATATGTAGAGTGTTGTTCTCCAGATACTTAAGAGAACTATAGGGACTGCAACTGCTTTTTAGTGATATGTGTAACTCTCCATACTCAAATAAACTCTTTATGTAAGGTATGTAGGCGACCTTTACTTTCACGTAACATACAAGCTATGACAACGTACAAATGTTACATTATGAATCCAAATATGAGAAAAAATAGGTAATAAATGATACTCAATGTTCATTCGTAATAAAAATATTGAATTATACAAAATATAATACGCAATTACATCATTGCTCTTTTACAACTTCATTCCCTTGACGACACTAAAGTAATTTTATAATAACTCAGTTATCTACATGGCTACTTGAATGACCGCATATGACTACCTAATTGACTACATGGCTACTAGATGGACTTCTTAGGTGGCTACTAGATTGACTTCCTACATGGCTACTAAATTAAATTGACTTCTACATTCCCTAACCCTAACCCTAACTTCCTACATGAATACTAGATTAGACTAGATTAGACTGACTTCCTACATGGATACTAGATTAGACTGACTTCCTACATGTATTCTAGATTAGTCTGACTTCCTATATGGAAATTAAATTAGACTGACTTCCTACATGGATACTAAATTAAACTGACTTCCTATATGGATATTAAATTAGACTGACTTCCTACATGGATACTAGATTAGACTGACTTCCTACATGGATACTAGATTAGACTGACTTCCTACATGGATACTAGATTAGACTGACTTCCTACATGGATACTAGATTAGACTGACTTCCTACATGGATACTAGATTAGACTGACTTCCTACATGGATACTAGATTAGACTGACTTCCTACATGGATACTAGATTAGACTGACTTCCTACATGGATATTAAATTAGACCGACTTCCTACATGGATTCTAGATTAGTCTGACTTCCTATATGGAAATTAAATTAGACTGACTTCCTACATGGATACTAAATTAAACTGACTTCCTATATGGATATTAAATTAGACTGACTTCCTACATGGATACTAGATTAGTCTGACTTCCTACATGGATACTAGATAAGACTGATTTCCTACATGGATTCTAGATTAGACTGACTTCCTACATGGATACTTGATTAGACTGATTAAATAGTTTACTGACTTTCTACATAGTTACTAGATTGACTTCCCATACGGTTACTAGATTTAACATTAAGTATTGGAAAGTACACAAATGTCATTATTTTGTGTGACAGCAAGCAATACAACACTTAAAATAAAATGAACATTTGATATATGTAATGACTTAAATAAGATGAACATTAAACGCATGCAATGGCACTCTTAAACTGAACTTAATGACACTTAAAATACAATGAACATTTCAATCAATTCAGTGATACTTAAAATAAGATTAACATAGGCTTACATTGAGTGCAAAGACTAGGCATTCGCAGAATATGTAGGATTATCTTGTGAGTCTTCCAACAGCCTTTTTTTTTCATTGAACTCTTCCATCTCTATAGTGGAAGTGTCTTTTTTCTTTCTTTTACTTTGACTATTGTCTGTACTTTTTTTTTTAAATTTTTTCTGTAATTCTACTTGTGTGTTTTTATTTTGTGTGTCAGATTGTTGTGGGTTTTCTTTATTTTGTGTGTCAGATTGTTGTGGGTTTTCTTTATTTTGTGTGTCAGATTGTTGTGGGTTTTCTTCAACTTTTTTGTTAGATTGTTCAGACGAGACTGTATCTTCTATAGCCACAGTCCAAGCCTCGTGAAAGTTTAGCCGTTCTTGTTTCAGCTTCTCTTTCACTCTTAAAAGAAAGACAAAATCCTTATTTATTATACATTAAATGTGTTTTATCTGGTATAATTCTTTTTTTTTTAAATTAGTGTAAGCCAGATAACTTGTTGATGAATTTGACCGTGCGAAAATTGTCACAGGTGTTTGGCTGAATACTGTCGGTGCGTTGGTTATGATAGTCTAGCACTAATTTTTCTTAGGTGCACAATATTTGAACGCACTTTCTTGGTTGCCTTGCTTTTAAGCTTGTGGAGGTTTTTTTTGTTACTATGCTGATGTAACGTTTCTTTGAGGTTTGTCTGTGTACCCCTGTTTAGGGTGCGTATCTAAATGTGACAAGAGGGACAATAAGGGTAGCTACTTTTTTTCAATAAGAGTTAGTCCCCTTTAACACATTATTTAAGTCCCTGTTTACTGTATACAAGGATCACTCTCTCTTTGAGTCTTTGAACTGACCATTGTAGTTTGAACTAAATCTCTATAATGTTTAGCTAATAGTTGTGTTGTTGTTCTATTACTGTGTTACTCAAGAGGAGTGTGCCACTATTTTAGGAAGAGTGTTTCGATAATGAGCTAAGTAGACTTTATTTATTTGTTAGTAATAAGTTAGTTTATGTAAATATTAAATGTCTACTTAGTCTCTTATCCTCTCCTGTATGTCCCGGATTCACATCCTGGTGAAGACTGGGATTTTTAATTTCGGGATCCAAAGACAAAGAGAAGCTACGTAACAAAACGACAGGGGCACTGTACTCTAGATAGCTAAGATATTGAAAACATATTTATTTCCCCTTTTCTCTTTTAACACCCACTCAAATGAGTTTAATTACATTACGTTTCATCGAATCGGCTAGGAATGGGGTTCATTTATTTCTTCCTAAAAGTGGTTCGAGCATTTATTACTCTTCAGAAACAAAATGGTTTACCACCGTCTAGCCCTGATCATTTCCAGGAAAATGTTGTCAACAAAGGAAAGGAACCAATAACTTGGGTGACATAAACCACCTCTAAATATACGCTTGAGTGAGGGGGGGGGGGGGAGGCGATCGCCTGTACCGCCCCCCCCTCCATCCCCCCATCGGATCCGCCAGTGTCATGACAACATTCCGGAGCGTATACCAAGTGACCAAGCCTACGTAGTGTTTAAATATACTAAGTAAATGAAGCTAATACTTCCATAAAGTAAACAAAGTAGCCATTTCTTTAGCCACCCTGGCTCCAACTGTACCCCGTATGTAAGGGCGTAACTCTTCAAAAGATAACATACATCTACATAATATCTAACATACATAACAAGATTGCATAAAGAATGGTGAGATATAGCATTCCATTAAAACACACTTTAATGTATAACTATACCAGAGCTGCAGAAGATGGAGCCATGTGAGAAGCTATTTGCTAGGGTGGCCTTCAACAGACTTTCTGACACACCCTATGTGTGAATGCAACTTACAAACTCTAATATTTTGTGCTTTTTTGTTGTATGATTGGAAATAGCAGTTTACTGGATGAGAATCTAAAGCGGTTAGGGTTACGGTTAAGGTTACAATTGAGAAGTTAAATTCATCATGGGCCTCTGTGAAGCCTCTGTCGTTAAATGATGCTGTCGCCGTGTGAAAACTCTACAAGTCAGCGACGTCACTATCATTGCTGTATTGGAAACTATCCTCAGTCTTTCTTCCTTAACAAATTATAACCAAAGGACTCGCAGTCACCCAGGTACATTAACACAAGTGCGTATCAATTAAATACCCGTACAAGGCTTCCCAGGAGGCTTGGTGGCTGAGCGGTAAAGCGTTTGGCTTTTGAACTGGGGGTTCCGGATTCGCATCCTGGTGAAGACTGGGATTTTTTATTTCGGGATCCAAAGATGCTTCTGAGTCCACCCAGCTCTAATGGGTACCTGACATTAATAGTGGAAAAGTAAGGCGGTTGGTCGTTGTCTGGTCACATGACACCCTCGCTAACCGTAGGCCACAGAAACAGATTACCTTTACATCATCTGCCCTCTAGTTCTAAAGGGGAACTCCACTTTTTTTTTACAAGACTTCCCGATTTCAAAAACTTAAAGTATAACTTAAGACTAAATTTCTGTGGTTCAATATTGAAGTGTATTCATTCAACTAACCTTACTTTTGCAGATTCTTTTGGAATTAAAATTTCTCGAAGGAAAGCTCCCACGTTAGATTGAAGCCATTTTAGACCAGTCAAAATAGTAGCCGTGAATCCAGCCACTTGCGTGGATGACAATATTGAAGTGTAGGTGACAAACACGATAAATGCAATGGCGTACAGTGTACAAGGCACTAAAGATATCAGAAAAGCCTGGAGGAAACGATGAAATAAAAAACATTACATATGTTTACAGGGTCCACAGTAGGCTTTTTGACAGGCTTATTACTGTTAGAGTTGTTATTAAAAAGATTAGATAAGCAGCATTCAGATGAGTGATATGTCTATTATAATAATGAAAAAAAACAACAACTCAAATAAAACCAATACTTCAAAAAACCCCAAAGCTAATCTCAGGGGAAGAGCTGTAGATTTATAGTCATATATATATATATATATATATCAATACTGTAAAATATTTTTCCTTTAATATCAAACTAAATAATTAGTTAGTGCTAACAATTAATTGATTGGTTAATTTTTTCATTGCTCAATGTATGTTATTGACAATGTAGAATTGTGCGAAGTTTTTGCTTGAACCGAGAGTGGGAGTTGGAAGGAATAACGTGTGCAAGATTGTATAGGACAGACAGGTAGACAAACAAACTGAGTTGATATTAGGTTTGTAAAAAAAAACAACATTAACCTACCTTTAAATAAGCACTGAGCTCAAAGGGAAGGCACTCCGGTGAGTCGTTGTAGATTTGGGTTACAAGCCTTTTGCTAGTATACATTCTACCATCTCTTCTTCGAAAAATAAAGGGGCAGTTGACATTTAGCCTTTTTTCCCAGGCAAAAGTGACTAAGTTACATTCAATTTTTTGGTCCTCTCCTGCGTTTAGAAACAATGATCAACTTATTACTGCAAACAAATTAAGACACATATTCCCTGATTGTACAAGTTATGATAAAGATTTAGTACGATCTCATCTATCCCTTGAATTTCGTCGAAGTGAGTTCACGTCCTCCACTTTTCTGTCAGCAGCTGTTCTTAGGATATGAAGAGCGAGGCCAGTCCTTCTTGTACGTTATCCAGCCAGCTTTTCTTTGGACGATCTTTTCTTCGTGCTCTCTCCACTGAAGGATGACTTTTGATAGTTGTCAGGATCTTCATATTTATTTTTTTCTTTAGTCTATATCAAAAATGTGATATTTTGTGTGGATAACTCCAAATGACCTCTGTTTTGAATGACTCCTTAAATTTTGATGCGTGAGCATGTGTAACTTAAATACAGAGGGAAAGTAGACCAGTAATTTTACAAGAATTCGTTGCGTTGTCATGGTGAATACAGTTTGGGCTAATATCAGAAGTTAACTATTCTTGTCATCTATCCACTTTTGGTAGTTGGTTATTTGAATTTCGGATTTTGATTTAATGTGTCGGTAAAATAATAGTGTGTAATTGTTTAGAATAAGACTATATCGTTTTGTTACGATGTTATTGTTTTAGGGCCAGTGTCTGTGTGACTTGAACTTTATATGTTAACTGTTGCTGTGTAGTAAAGAAGATGAGGACACTCTAGAAACCAAGACGCTAGGAACACGTTTGGTCTGTCCGTTAACCTAAAAAAAAAGGAACTAACCCAGCTCCACCAATCGTCGCGAATGACCATTTCTTTAATAATGTTAACTACGTTACCTACTTGGGCAGCTTAGTGCCCAAAGATGCGTCAAGTCCAGAGATAAAGACAACCATCTAGCAAAGGCCAACACCTCAAACAGAGTATGGTGGAATAGGTCAATTTACTTAGCAACAGAAAATAAGTCACTTTTGTATGTCTCCGACACCTAAGTGCTCTATCGAAGACATTGAAAGCGCCTCGAACACTTCCATCAAAGGTGCCTTCACTTTATGATGAGCATACGCTGGCAAGACTAATTGACAATTAACTGTTCTGATGGAGGCCGGTGTGGACAGTATAGAAGCACTAATTACTATTCGACAGCTGTGCTGGGCCGGACACGCCCACACGGGAGACGACGCGATCTTCTTTGGCGACCTTAAAGTAATATATTAATGCAGCTCCAGATTTATAGCATTGAGTCAACCCAGGGCCTCACCATCAACAAACACACAAATATACACTTCATTTTTACTATAATATGCATATCAAATATTCTTCAAAACAAAAAACAAAACAAAACAAAAAAAACAAACAATAAACAACTGAAAAATGATATCAAGTACTAAATTACTTTCTTGTTAAACATTGCACGAAGAACTCTTGTATTAACAACTAACCGGAACTCTTACAATCTCATATTCCATGAACACGTTTAAACTTTAGACAATTAATTATTGTACATAAAACAATTACTTTAGTTAATTACTTGTTGGTAGACTATTATTTTGATTAATATGGACTAATTGAAGTAACTTGTACTATATATATATCATGGGCGTAGCCAGGATTTTCTTTGGGGGGGGGGGGGGTTTGGGGGGGGATGTGTGTGTGTGTTAAAAGTTAATCTTTATTACATTATTTTGGCAGACGTTTATTTACTCTATAATTGGTTCTTCCTGGAGTTAGTGCAAAGATTGTAGACTCCCGGCCCTTGCAAGCTCTCAGCGCTCCCCAGCGCGGGGCGAAGCCCCACCGCCAGACACTATTTCCGATATTAAAAGCCAACAAAATATATATTCTAAGGTATCTACATGCG